CTCTTTGTATACAATATTTCTATGTATTTTACAACTCACGCGGGGAACCCGTTATTGGAGCTTCGGCTCTGTGGGTGCGCCCTTCCTGTTTTTGGGTAAATTAAATAAATAAATAAATAAATAAAAAATAAATAATTCATAAAAGAATGTATTCATCTATACAGCTGTAAACAATGATAGCGCAGGCATATACCGCACGCATATGTGAACCAGGCTTTAAGTGTAATGGCTCTTTTAGTTTTGAAATTACTCCAAATAGCCCCCCCCCCCCCTTCCCGGTATACTACTAAAATAATAATAATAATAATAATAAAAACTTTATTTCAGTGTCCAGGTTATTTATCTTCATAGATCATAATTTCAGGTTTGAAATAATCCATTGTCATCGCCAACAATACACAAAACAATTTGATTCGTCTCCGTGCAAAGCTGCAAAGAATCCTGGTAAAGACCTACCTAAAATGATCATGTTTTGTGATTGGCTTTCAGAAACAAATCAGAAACAAAAATGATCATTGTTCGTGACTCGTTCTTTAGAAAGACGATTTCTATAGTTTTATTGTCTTTCATTGTTATAATTAACCAACCACGAGCCTGGATAGTATAGGTAGATGATGACCCAATAATCATGACTTACCTTTGTTCGATCTTGCTTTCTTTCCATTCCTGTGATTTTATCTTTCATTTCTTTCAATTCCACTTTCATCTTATCCTGTACATTTTGATAAACTACGATTAGTACAGGAAATGTAAATTAATATCCTCACAAAGTTGACATACAGAAGATTTGTTTTTATCGCCATGTAAACCTAGAATGGACCAATCTTATCTTACCTTTATTTTTTCTTGTTTTCTTTCCATTCCAGTGATTTTATCTTTCATTTCGTTCATTTCCACTTTTATCTGTGCTTGGGAATGTTTGATTTCGTCATCATTTTTCTGAATTGTAAAATTTAATTTTTGATAAATGTGTTGCAGTATTGCTGTTAACCAATTATACCTATCGTCATGCAAATCCATTCGCAATTGAAAAGTCTAATTGTCTATTACCTTCATTTCATCTTGTTTTCTTTCTATTTCTTCATTTTGAACTTTCATCTCAGATTGGGATTTCTGAATTATATTATATATTATTTCAAACATGATACTGTATACATTTTGACAAACTATATGATTAGTATATATAAATACATATATCTTGCAAAATATCTTCCCTGAAAAAATTTGGACGCATTTGCGCCATATTACTATGACGACGAGAATCATATTAACTCGCTGACGCCATTAGGGAGCTTAAGCATGTAGGACGGCAACACTACGAGGATGGCCAAAACAAATTCCTTCAAATAAATGATAGTAAAGAAAACTTGTCGTATATTATAATTCGTATGAAATTAATACAGTATAAGAAGCTGAAAACATTGGCTTTATGTTTGAGAAGAGTTCTACTGACCGAATTTTAGGTTGCACTTGTTACGCCTTGAAATGCAGGCGTTGTATAAAAGACGTGAAAATCTGTGATTTGCCGTTGTAAACAGAGCGACGACCACGTCTGAAACTCCCCTGGGACTTTAATTATTTATTCACTTTTCATTGACTCATTGTATTGGTTGCCGTCGTCGTCGTGTTGCCGTCCTACATGCTTACTGTCGTTCCAATTGAAGTGTTGCTCAAATATTGATTCAATACATTACCTCGGGCTGACCAATTCATTTGATCAAGTTCCTCGAGATATT